ATAGAAAACAATATAGAACAGTGAGTAAAAAATAAACTCACTTTTAATGATTTCTTCATTCAAAATTGTGTTTAAAATCGCGAAATTATATGACACATTTTGTCATCTGCATAATCGATTGATTGGTGGTCAATTAAATCTATCTACTGACATATTTTGCCCTAAAATTTATACAGAAGAATATAAAAGTGACTAAAATTACTCACCTTTGCACTAGGAATGCTGTATTTGAAGTAACTTCAGATCTTTCAACGAAAATATAATAAACGTGACGTCACCGAACGTGCATAAAATTAAAGTATGGTGTAATTTAAGAGACACATTTAAATATCGATTTTTACTAAATCTTTATGATCGATTTTTAAGGATTCTGCAAGGAGATTTTTTGAGGACTTTTTTCTCAAAATGTAAATAATGTTTATCTTTTATTTAATCGTGAAAACATTTGTGAAGGAATTAGTTTTACCATAATTTCTATTATGACTGGCCTATATTGCACGACCGTGCATATATTTTGACGTGACGTCATTTGCGTTATACAAACATATTGAAAAGACGCGCTAAATGTTTAGCGTTACACAGTACGCGCGTCAATAAAAAACGATTGATTTCACTTTAAACAGTCTTATTTCGGGTCGCATTATATAATTTTATTCAACTCGTTCAATAAATTCAGTATCAAACCGTACAATCAAATGGGCAGACATCAGTTCTAGTGTCGGCAGCTGTACAACAATGTACCAGTATATACATGTCGGCGCAGGAAAATCAATTGACGGACGGTAAGTATTCACCTATTTTTAACATACATTGTATTCCAACTGTGTTCGAGTAAATCAATGTTATGGATTCATAGTCAACATCCAAAGGGGCATACTAACAAATTTCTGGCCCTGTGCAAGCTTTACTTCACGTGAATTTTGACTAAAAATAACCTCACTATCCGATGAGATGCGGCATTTTTATTTTTAAGTCACAAAAACTTATATTTTCTGATGATAATTAATCGTTTTATCATACGATTTATAAACGTCAACATTTCATCAATAAATATTCCAAACCATACCTTAAAAAAATGCTTTTCTGATAAAGTTAAAGGGTATTTAAGTTGGAGTGTCATTAAAATTTTAGTAACGTCATCAGCCCATCGCCTCTTTTTTAATGATAACATCGACAGCCATTCATCGGCAAGAATGAATAACGCTGAAAGCCGTTCAAGGAAACAATTTTCAGCGCGGTGTGAGTATTAAACTAACACTCATTCAATAATCTCTTTTTATAACATATCCGTGCCGTAAAAGCGGTATTGCACGGCCGTGCATATACTTTGAAGTGACGTCATTTGCGTTATAAATACAAACATAGTATAGAGACGCGCTGAATGTTAGCTTTACACTTTTGGCGCGTAGAAAGAAAATGTTCCTTTTTCACTTTAAACAATTTTTTTTTGGGTTCGTGATAAATAAAATCTGTTGATTTTATCTCCCTTTAATTCCAAATTTTGATACTTTTCATCAAATTCTAGAATTATCTTTTCATCAACAATTAATTCTTCCACTTATTTATACTTACCACAATAATAATGTAGAGCTCTATGTAATAATCAAATTGATACATGCTAGTTATGATTAAAAGTATTATAATTTTAATTTAATTTGTATATAAGAACTATATATTTTATGGAAATTGTCAATATGGTTGTTATGGGTAACGTGACGTTGTAGATAACTCTTACAGCGTCTAATAAGTATTTGAAAGTCCTCGAGGAATCGAGGATAACAAATAAGTAAAAATAGTACAAGTATGATATTTTATGTACGAATAAGTGAAGTGACCATTAGTAACCTGCTCGTTGATTGGCTCATTTTTTGTGGGGTTTACTTAATTTTACGACAGGGAAACACGATAAAAAAGACATTCAAATTCTCTTACATTTTTAATACCCGATGGCGAGGGTAAACAAACCCAAACACACAAGTACATGGGTTTTTTTCCTGGGGTTTAATAATTTTGTTTTTTTACTGTTAAGGGAACAAAAGTAAACTTTTGTGTACCTTTGCATTTTGTGTACAGATTTGAGACATGTTCTTTCTTATTATTACCCCTCACTTTTTTCGTAATGCTGATTTCCGATAGGCCTCTGGGAGTTATTTTTACTGTTAATGCAAGTGTACCACGTGACTAAGAATTTTGTACTGTTACATAGGTAACAGTATTTTTTAACAGTATAAAATCTGGTCACGTGGTCTATTTTCTAAATAAAATGAAATAAAATGGCCGCCATTTTTCTCTCGATTCATTCTTATTTTCGACGTTAAACCCCGATAGGACATCAATTTCTTCTCTGGAATAACACATAAAATTTAGTTGTTCGCAACCTGGTGTGCTTTTCGTGTATAAAATACATTTTTGTTGAATAGTCAAAAAGTGAACATCCGTTTATTGCAATGTAAATAATTATGTGTCAAACTGGAACATGCAGAAGATTTAAGCATGCAACAGAGGATTATTTAACAATTTTAATCAGTGAAACGTTACAGATATGGTGGATATACATAGGATATCATCGTTATTTTGTAAAAAAAACATGCTAAGAATATTCTCAGATTTCACAGATCATAACCGTGTAAATGGGTTAGTGTTTTGTTTCCTAAATAAAACCTAGCTTATTGTATGTTTATGATTTGTAGATATCATCACTTGCTTAAAGAATAAAAGAAAAAGAAAACTTCTCAAGTAGGCCTACAGTAAAGTAAACTTAAAACTTAAAAGGTAAGGACAGTTTAGTTATTGTTACTCTTGGTTTAGTTTTGTTACAGTTAGATTTAGTTGACAATTTCAGATCATCACAGTATTTTTGTTCGTGGTAATAAATTAAATAACACATGGGTTTGTGAGTAACAGTAAAAATATCATCCCAAGGAAAACACTGTTACCCGAGGCTACCAGTATTTTCCTTGGGGTGATATTTTTACTGTTACCCTCAAACTCATGACGAGAATGTGTTATTTATATAATTAATGGGTTCTATAAATCAGACTTATTGTGATAAATGTGACTTCAATTGTGGCGTAGCTTCCTATAGGCACTGTAGGCACGTGCCTACACTTTTTTCTCAGATATGGAAAAATTGAAAATGCCAAAAATGCAATAAAAAGTGAAGGGGTTGGTGTGGTTGAAGTGTTGGCCCTTTAGATATAGAAATGATAAGTCATCCTATTTGAAAAAAGATGAATTCGAGTAAATTCGTTTTATCTTCTTTCATATAAGCAAATGTACGAAGTGGTTCTGTTACGAACCGCAGCGCTAGCTAACTAAGAGACAGATGACGTCACATCAAAGTTTTTGAGCGCTTAATTTCAAAATGTAAATAAAGCAAAAATGGCCGACCAGAATCCGCAATATCCGGATATCGGTAGTGTTAGCTTTAATGCAAATGATGAGGAATCAAAGAGATGTCTTCTGAACCAAGCTTGGGCATCGTGTTTGTCATATCCTTTTCCCTTTAGGTAAGCAAGATTTTATAATTATTTTGTAGATTCTAAATTAATTATTTGATTCAAACACCGTGTATCCTGATATGATGCTCGTCCAACGTAAGGCTTGATTGTTTTCTATTTATCTTTAAACAAAATACATAGCAAAGTCGAAACAAGTTCACCAACTGGATCTGGAATAATTTTCGACGTGAAACATAGTTTCTTTAACAATTCAAAAATTGTTTTTACCTATATATATATAATTGAATATCAATTTAATTGTAATGCTGCAATAGCGCAGCGGTAGAGCATATACCTTACACGCTACCGATGCGAGTTCGATTCTGCGGCACGAATTTTTTTTTTTTAAATTTTCTTTTTTATTCCTTTTTTTCTTATATAGTCTATTATAATTTTACTAATCGAAATAAATTTTCATTTATTTTGGACGCTTTCTTAGTAATTCATATCATGCTATCCAATTGCCGTTTCGTCTAGAATCTATGACATTCTATCTCAATATCAGTTATATAATATAACGACTAATTCGCAATTTTTTTTAATGTTCAACAGGACATTCGGGAACAAGCAACGTAAACTAAATGGCAAATGGTTGATGGAGAAGAAATGGCTGCGGTATTCAAAATATAAAGATGCAGTGTACTGTGTGAACTGTTGTCTGTTTGGAGGGAATGATGGTCGTGAAAAGACTTTTACATCTGGCACGAGCGACTGGAAGAACCTTTCATCATTACTGAAACGTCATGAAAACGAAACCTGCCATATAAATGCTTCTTCTAGACTAATCTAGAGCTGAAAGCTATCTGGTTATCCAGTCTGGAAAATGTGAGTCTATCAATAAGAAATTGTCAGAGTCTTCTAGAATAACAGTAAATAACAACAGACATATCTTGAAAAGAATAATTGAAATAATAGTTCTTTGTGCAAAGCAAAACATACCACTCAGGGGCCATACTGCTGAAAATAGCAACTTGGACGTAATACTTACTGCGTTTGCAAAAAATGACGAAATACTGTCTGAGCATTTGGCTAGTGCACATTATAACGCCAAGTATACTTCCCTTGATATTCAGAATGAGCTCATAGGCATTTGTGCTGAGCATGTCAAAGGAAAGATAACAAGTGCCTGTCGGAACTGTTCCTTCTTTGCAATAATAGTAGATGAAGCTACTGACAAATCAACTAAGGAACAACTGCCGCTCTGTGTAAGATATGTTGATGATAATTGTTGTATAAACGAGGAGTTTTGGGGTTTCGTTGAATGTCCTTCAATAAAAGGAACTGACCTTTGTGCCAACATTTTGTCATTTTTTCAAGAGGTAGACCTTGATATTTTAAAAATCCTCGCACAATGCTATGATAGAGCATCTTATATGTCAGGCAAATACCGGGGTGTTCAAGCACTGGTTCGTGAATAATGCCAATTATGTCCACTGCAAAGCCTACTGCTTGAATCTTGCGTTGGTACACAGTTCAAACATTCCGTGTGTGCGTACGATGATGTCTACTGTTCAAGACATCAGTTTTATGTTTGACTATTCGGCTAAACGTCTTAATGCCTTCTGTAAAGAGTTATCTCAAGATACCGCTGCAAGAGCAGAAATGGAACAAAGAACCAAACTGCGAACCTTGTGTGAAACAAGATGGTCAAGTCGTGCAGATGCCCTAGCGACATTCAAGAACGCCTTTTCAGTTGTTGTGCATGCCCTTGAAACTCTGCAAGAAGACGGAGATGACAAAGCAGGGCAGTATCTGGGAGGGATTCTCAGATTTGATTTCATTATAGCTTTAATAGTTGCAGAACATTTGTTAAGCTCAACTGTCGCCCTTACTAACCTCTTGCAAAAAGAAGATAATGACCTGCTTCATGCAGTAGAAGAAACCAAAGTTGTTGTTCAGCTATTGCGCAATGAGCGGAACGACGCAGACGTATGGGATGCTCTCTATGACAAAGCTTCCAATATCGCAGCAGAATTCGACATTCAACCTTCAAGGCCTAGAAGAGCTGCCAGGCAAAATCATCGAGCAAACCCAGATGTTCACACAGTGTCAGATTATTGGAAAGTCACATTGTTTTATGTATTTCTTGATCATCTGGTACAGGAAATCGAATCTCGTATCTTAAGTAACCAAGATCGTTTTGCTGCACAGTATCTTCTACCGAAAAGATTACATCAACTTCAGGTTGAAATGCTTCCCGCCATATACGCTGCTTATGCTCCAGATATCGACCATACATTTGAATCGTTCAACAATGAAGTCGCGAGGTGGAAAGTTCGTTGGAATATTGCTGAAAACAGGCCGGTTCGTCTACAAGAAACGCTCCAAAAAACCAACAAAGACCTGTATCCCTGTATTTACAACATTCTCGCAGTTCTTCTTACAATGCCTCCGACATCAGCATCATGTGAACGGTCGTTTAGCGCAATGAAACGAATTAAGAATTATTTAAGGTCAACCATGAGAACAGAGAGAATGTCATCACTGGCAATCCTACATATTCATAAGGACATGGATGTTGATATCAGCAAAATTATCAATACATTTGCCTCTAAGAAAGGAAGAAAACTTGACTTCTTCTGAAAGAATGACATACTCATAAAATAAAATTCGCGCGAACGATTCGTTCAAATTTCAATATTTGATATCATTACTGTACACAAACCAAGGCACAGGAGTGTATGAAAGACATTTAATGAAAATAATATTACACTTTTTTAACTGTAAACCGTTGATAATTAATGGAAAATTAATATCGTGTTGATTCAATACTAAATCTTTTGAACTCGTGGAAACAAAAAACAACAATAATTATCATGCTCTCCAGAGATCGCATAATATGATGTTTTATTCAACTATTTAAATAATTTAAATTTAAATCTTCATTCAATATCCTCTATTTTACATGCTGAATTATTATTTATTAGGAAAATTATTGAAGAGGTACCGTACTAATTGAATTGCTGAATGTATGTACGGCTTAGACTGTTTCATTTGATTGACTTATTTAGTTGATAAGTCTTGCCAATATATATAGGTAGAGGATTCATTCATATACATTTATTATGGCATTTGAAGCTGTTTGTGTGTCAATATATTTTATCAGATGTCATTGGTATTTAATTGTGTGTTCCAATTATATATTTGGCTAACATTATTCACTGTGAATGTGACTGATTTTTTCCTATATGCAAATAAATTTTCACGTTAGCGCAGATTTGCATAAATTTGTTTATTAATTATAAAACAGTCTTTGAGCCAATCAATTACTATTAATCCGACGTTATACCGAAATAAATTACAATATTTCAAAATTAAATATTGCATATTTTGCTTAAACGTCAATTATGATAATTTTGAGATTTGCCTACAGTATATGTATTGTTAAGTTATAATGATTAAACGTTTAAGTATGGGCATAATTATATTGATGGGAAAAAAGAGTTTTCAATGTAGCAAAAATGCTGCAAAATTATCTCTTTTAATTCTTCTGAACATGCCTTAAAATACCTCAGAATGCAGCTACAGCAATGTTAATTTTCAAAAATTTCCGGGGGGGCATGCCCCCGGACCCCCCTAGAAATAGTGCCTACACATTACTTTCTTTCAAGCTACGCCCCTGACTTGTTGTGATAAATGCTTTCGAGGGATCACTTTGTTACTTCACAACAGCAGGTGTCAAGTGCCGTGTGGCAGCCGTAAAAAGTTGCCACGTACTTCACTGCCGTGTGGCAGCCGTAAAAATTTGCCCCGTACTTCACTCTGAACAGTGTTGTTATATTTTCTGCTCCTATGTACAGTAATTGTGTCCCCAAGCGGTTTGGGGATTTCAAAAGTAGTCAACGCTGACTGAGGTTTTAACAGCGTTGTTTCGTTACCCATAACTTCGTTATTTAGTTAATAGACCGTAATGTAAGTATTTATACATAGACAATATCATAAAATATTAGGTTTATAATATGTAAATTATTTAATTTTTGTAAAAAAATGCTGACTACCTATTGTAATAATTGCAAAAGACAGAAGAAATATGTTGTTGTTTTAATGTTATTTTCACAATTTGATATATTACTCTAAATCTTTAATAAAAGGGAGGTAATATTCATGCACAATTTTTATAGACCGTCGAGGAAGAGTTACTTCCCTTACGAGATGTGACGGAAATGGGGGGTTTACTAGAAAATACTGATCGTTTATTTACGATTATAACATAAAAAATTTGACTCTTGCATACATAAATTTCATATCAAGAAAAAAAAATAAAGAACAAAGATTAAGATTAGATCTAATTCTTGCTATGGGGTAAAACAACGGAATTTCAAAGTGAATATATTTTCTCTAATTACAGTAATTTCTCTGTGCTTTAACCAAACAATTATTCTACAATATGATTTAAAAACTATGTATTTACAATAAAAGCTACGTTACACTCTTTTACTCTAGCCTAGTTAGCTAACATTAGTGTATTTTTAAAAATCATTGAGGCTATTACCTCCCTTTAATTGAAGGTTTAGAGTTTTATATCAAATAATGAAAATAATATTGAAACTACAACATATTTCTTTCGTTTTTCGGAATTATTACAATAAGTTGTCAGCAATTTTACTATAAAATTGAAATAATTAACATATTATAAACCTACTATTTTATGATATTATCTGTGTATAAGTAGGCATGATTTGATATGTTAAATTGAGTTATGGTAAACGAAACAACGCTGTTGTAAACTCCGTCAGCGTTGACTTCTTTTGAAATCCCCAATACGCGGGACACAAAACAAAATATCTAACTTTGAAAGGAGACACGAGTGCCCCTCTGTTTCAGGTAAAATATTAGTAAGCAACAGTAAAAAAAAACATGTTCCCTGTCGTCCCAGAAAAAAACAACATTGTACGAGCAATTAAACAATGTCTTTTCTAGTATCGTTATCTCTTTCCCTGTCGTCAAAATAAGTATACCCCACAAAAATGAGCCCTTTAACGGGTAACTTACGGTCATCTCGTTTATTCGTACTTAAAATAACATATATTAAAATTAACAAAATCTTACTTATTTGTTTTCCTCGATTCCAGGCAGGCTAGATTGGCTTGGGGATAACGACATTTGAGGTTCACAAGAGCTGACTGGGCCAACGTCTTGTTTGTTGATGAGACCAGAATTGAACTTCGCGGACCTGATGGACGTGATCGTGTGTATAGGCGACGAGGGGAGCGAAACTCTTGAAGCATGCTTATTTGAGGCTGATCAGTGCGGAGGTGGCTCTATAATGATATGGGCTGGTGTATCTATGCACACAAAGACTCAAATCATCCCTATTTAAGGCAATCTAAATGCAAGGAGATACCAAGCAGACATCATCCAGTCAATTCTTATTTCACATGTTTGCGCAAATCGTGGAATTATTTAAGCCCAGGATAATGCACCGTGTCACGTTGCTAGAGGTACCATGGCTATGTTTGCTGCCAGTAATGTAAAGACTCTCCAATTGCCTGCATGAAGTCCGGGTTTAAATCCTATCGTAAATATTTGGGATTTTCTAAAGAGACAAGTAAGAGCCAGGCCACAACAGTTAAATATTGCCGACCTAACGAGGAATGTTATCCAGGTATACACGGGGGAGGAAGTGTTACACGAAGGATGGAGTTCTTATGATAACTTGTTTGGAGTTCTTATGATAACTGTCACGGAGTTCCTGGAAAACGTTACGGATTTCTGTGGAAAACTTTTCTATTTACTTGGAGAAATCACGTGAAAAATGGTCATTTTAACTTTAAATGGGGAGTTTGAGGTGCTAAATTAAACTTGGATAATTAAGCTACATATTGTATAATGTTTCAGAAAAACCTTTTATTCCATTTTTTATCGCCTTTTTATAAAAAAAAATTGGTAGTTTTGAGTAAAATTTCCAAATTACTTGCTCATTCGTACATATTGACCTCTTCATTTGTGATCTTCTTCGTTGCTATACATAATTACATAATTATAATGCAGAGTTGCAGACATAAAGCCTAGGCTAATAAATTTATACCCGATTTTTCAAATGTCATGGAGTTCTTGTGATAACTCAAAATATGTCCTGGAGTTCTTATGATAACTTTTGTTACTGCCAGTGTGTTTCTTGTGCTAAATTACGGCCCGTTTAAGCGTATTTTATTAGTCAATAAGTGTGTAAATCATTATGAAGCATAGTACGCGTATCATTTGCACACACATTTGGTTATATAACGGTGGTTTAGAGTGTATTTCAGTTCAGGAGATATTTTTCTTACCTCCGTTTCTTGTGTTTTTTTTTGTGTTTGTTTGGGTTTTTGGGTTTGTTTGATTGTTGTTTTTTTCCATTTCATTGGAATGACTGAAAACATACTTGATGTAGAGCATTTAGTTACAGGATAAAAATACGCTTTGAATTTAATATTTAAGCATGATTTCTTCATGTATACATTATTCCTGGCAGTTCTAGAAAACATAAAGTAATCATGCTATCGGTCTGCCGAAACAAATTACATGTAAATGGTTGGTTTGCAGCAAAAAAAGAAGTAGTATGCATTACCTTTATCTAAATTTAATGAGGTGTGTGTCATCTTTAGATATTCAATGGATATCTTAATTTCTAAAAGGTATACATTTTGTCATAGAAACGTATAAAGTTCTATGACAATGATATGACAATAGAAAGTAAGAATTTAATAATATATGTGAGTCACCATTAAAGGCTTACTTTCTATTGTCATATCATTGTCATAGAACTTTATACGTTTCTATGACAAAATTTATACCTTTTAGAAATTAAGATATCCATTGAATATCTAAAGATGACACCCACCTCATTCATTAAATTTAGATAAAGGTAATGCGTACTACTTCCTATTTTGCTGCAACCATTTACATGTAATTTGTTTCGGCAGACCGATAGCATAATTACTTTATGTTCTCTAGAACTGCCAGGAATAATGTATAGATGAAGAAATCATGCTTAGATATTAAATTAAAAGCGTATTTTATCCTGTAAGTAAATGCTCTACATCAAGTATGTTTTCAGTCATTCCAATGAAATGGAAAAAAAACAACAATCAAACAAACCCAAAAACCCAAACACAAAAAAAAACACAAGAAACGGAGGTAAGAAAACTATCTCTTGAACTGAAATACACTCTAAACCACCGTTATATAACCAAATGTGTGTGCAAATGATACGCGTACTATGCTTCATAATGATTTACACACTTATTGACTAATAAAATACGCTTAAACGGGCCGTAATTTAGCACAAGAAACACACTGGCAGTAACAAAAGTTATCATAAGAACTCCAGGACATATTTTGAGTTATCACAAGAACTCCATGACATTTGAAAAATCGGGTATAAATTTATTAGCCTAGGCTTTATGTCTGCAACTCTGCATTATAATTATGTAATTAAGTATAGCAACGAAGAAGATCACAAATGAAAAGGTCAATATGTACGAATGAGCAAGTAATTTGGAAATTTTACACAAAACTACTAAAATTTTTTATAAAAAGGCGATGAAAAATGGAATAAAAGGTTTTTCTGAAACATTATACAATATGTAGGGCAAGCTTAA